AGTGAAGGACAGGAAGGCCTGGTGCAATATGGTTCATGGGGTCATGAAGAGTCGGACACGAGTGAACAACTAAACAACAACAACATATTCTCTAGTCACAGTCAATTTTATTTCCATAAGTGGCTCTATCATCAATTTGCTGCCTTTTCTGGAATCTTGATTTACTTGTCTGTTTAATATAAAACTAGGATTTGGTATGGAGTATTTACCCAGACTTATATCATTCTGTCTTTTTATTGTATAGTTATCAAGTACTTGTTGGAAAACCTTGAAAGAGAAATATTGCAAGCTGAGAAGTCTTTACTCCAAGCAGCTGCTTCATTCCCAATGTATGGCAGACTACACTGTATAACTGGGGCTTTGTGTCAATTAAAGTGAGTAATATCACTGAGTGTTAATGTGAATCACAATGACATTCATTAACTTCTTTGTTGCTGTAGAGTAGAAGTGCACATTTTTTAAAGTTGAAGGGTGCACTTGGTCTTTAAATGGTGTGCTGGCAATTGTCTTTCAAAAAGCAGAGGGAACCATAACAAATACTGCATGAAATTAAATGTTAATTGAATGTAAGCCAGATTCATTAAGTATAATTAAGATGATTATGTTCCACATATTTATGCATTTTCCCTTTCTGCCACAATAAACAGCAAAGTTTATTGGTAAAATTTGGAGAGATTCTGGTGGGCATATCTAGAATTTGTGGGGGCTGCATCGCCTCTCAGTGAATATTGTAATAGAAGTTTGCTTGTGCCAGCTAATAAGTAAATATGCTCTTGATTTGAGCTCAGATATGCTCTTGACTTGAGCTCAACTCCTGTTGCCAACATGAATACATACATGTGGTTTTCATGGCAACGGTGTATTTTGCATTGCCTTCTGGGATGCTTTTCAACTTTCCAATTGAGTCTACAGCCTGGATTCCATGGTGGTCTCGCATCAAAGATGTAAGCAGACTGAACTGAATGAACCTTTTGAAGGCTAATATTTTATGTTGCTTCCTCACTGAAGAGCAGTGCACCAAATCAGATAATCCTGTCATGCAGCAGGATGTAACCATTAGTTTCAGTAGTACCAGAAGGGAATATAGATGAACGTGGGAATGTTCTACTAGGAGGAGGGGACATTTGACTTCAGACAACAAAACATCTTGAGTAGATATTGGGAAGAATGCTCTTCAGTATATCACTTTGTGTTTTGGGGTTGCAGCAATGCATCTATTTATACATCTTCCATCATTAAGAGGAAGTATGACATAATAAGTTATAAGAACAATCTTACTGTGCGGTAAAATAATTCTGTCTTTTAAGCTGTAATTTATGTGATGAGTTTATATTGAATAAGTAAGCATTAATTTATCATAAACTTTATTTTTAAACTTTTAAACTATTCACAGTGAATTTCTTGATTTATTTTGTTACAGTAATATGACACTGACCAGTGAATGGAAAGAAATAGTGAGAAAACTTATTCTGATATCATATAAACTTTCTGCTGTAGTATCTCCAGTAGTTCAGAGTTCATCTCCAGAAGGCCTTATTCCAATGGATACTGACTTGGGTAATACAGGAATATTCCTAAAATTCCTAACTTTCTTGATGCAGTAACTTCAATGAATTTTATGTATTGTGTTTATCAAAGTGGATGTCTCTTTGCCGATTCAAATAGTTTCCTTTTTTGAGCCCCCCAGAACCATGCATTCCAGCATTCTTCTCTACATATGTTGGTTCTGGTCAATATGATGCTGTATTTTCAATAACAGTGTAAAATTGATATATAAGAGATGTTGAGATATTCCTGGAACACCTGAACAAGAGACAAAACTCCAGTGATAGATAATTGGCTGTATTCAAATTTTTATTTTGCTGTTAGTTTCTCCCCATCAGGGTTCTGCAGAACAGTTTGAAAAACCCTGGCTTAAAGCCTCTGATTATAAGTTTTGCAGTAAATGTACTCATCCTACATACTGTATTCACTTAAGATCCATACTCTCCCAATTTCTCTTGATCCTTCAGCCCCCAAACATCTTCTTATGTGGACTGAGGAAATAATAACTTTGAGGCTAGTGGATGGCTGTGACAAACTATTACATTTTAGTTGGCTCTAGGTAGCCTGCCTTGTATTAAGGCATACATGTATATACATTTATACATATACATATGTATTTTATATATACAGTATACACAGGTAGATAGATATATTCTTACTGCTTCCAGTTATGGAAATGAGTTACAGAATTATGTTAAATTTCAAAAACTAAATTTCAGACTGACTGAGAAAGTGCTTTTAGCTGCATTTTCTCATACTTGCCTCTTTCTTTCTCTTCTTCTGACTTTATTACTTTTTAACTCTTAATTTCTTTAGGGCAGAATTCACCCAATTTTTGTTGCTTGTTTGTTTAAAGTGCAAGTCTGTTGGTGGTGTATATAAGTGATAATACCTGGCCTTGAGAAAATTTAATTAAAAGAGAGAAAGCATAACGAGGGAAGAATTTGGGGTGTACCG